GCCGCACCACACTTCACTCCACCAACTTTTCCACTTACACCAAGCTCTTTCCACCCTCATTCACCACAGCCAATACATTGAACGCGCCGAGGCCCTCTTTGCCGTGGGACTCATCCACATTACACTTCTATTTTGCTACCCCTCCTCCACACAACGTTCACAACAATGGCGTCAGCGGCTTCAGCACCTCCAGATACAACCACATACCTATCACTACCACAATTTTCTTTCTCCCAATGCTGTTTATGTCAAACTGTACTTCAACCCCACCACACCAAACCGCTGTTACCACCAGCATGGCCATTTCTATATCGGCTCCACTGGCATTGGCATCCCAACACAATCGTCGGGCCAAACTTAAACAGCTGCAGAACAACATTCCCATTTCAGCGGAACTGTCCCTCCGTTACTGGCATTCCCACAACAATATTCACCACTTCACACCCATTCAACTTTCTTCTCACGACACCTACGACCAAGCTTGGATCCAGGAACACTACCTCATCTCCAACTGGATGCCGCCTCTTAATTGGCCCTTCATCTCCCATCACCTCAAGCTAAAAGCTCAAGGTTGGCAATTCACAAAACACCGCGCCCATTTCTACTCTCGCCTGGCCACCCACAAGCGACTTTTCCGCAAGCTTCGCAGACGGCAACATGCCATTCAGGAACCACATCTCTTCACTTCAACACGACTACATGCCCTCACTCTCCTTCGCAATCTCACAAAGCACACACTGGCATCCTTTGAAGCAGCCAAACAACTGCGCAGCGGCAAACACACGGACCTCGAAGTCTACGCCATCCGACGAATGGCCTCCAACCTGTCTTCTTCAGCACACTGCCCTCCACTTCACATACTATCGGTATGTGGACAACCGTTTCATTGTCCACAACGAACACTTCCTCATCCACAACAATTTTTTCGGCGATCCCGTCGAATTGGAAACGGTGGATGACTTTCACCTTTTGGGCTTCAACATTGACCTCCAGCAACGCACCATCACCTACATGCAACCTACCCAACCCTGGAAAATCAGGGACCACACCAGCGCCGGTAGCCAGCGCTTGGCTCTTTCCGGCTTAGCTTCCAGACTCCATGCCATCTATACATACACTTTTCCACCCCACAACGCCACCGCTGCGGCTGAAGCACTGGTCCAACTATATGCCCAAAAAGGGCATGACCTGCATGCGTGCAGGCGGTTTTTGAGAAAAAGATCCGTCCTCCACCGCTTTGTCTTTGCGCCGACTGCGGCTTCTTGTGTGTGTCACACCCTGGTTCTAAGGGTTTTCCTTGTTCCCTTTTTCCACCTGTTCCACTGAAGCAGGGGCGTGTGACGCTCTTCTCCTATCACACGCAACGAAGCTGTGGAGAAGAGTGGGAAGGGAAACTTGGCCAGTTTCCTGTACCTGCGACGCAACTTTTGATCAAGCCGTTCCACTTTCTGCTTTTTGTTTCATGGTGTTTCATGATACTCCCCCCCAAACCATTTCCTCCCCAGCAGCGATGCAGCTTGAGCCGCTTCGTCACCGCAGTCAAGGGAAACGATCATTGTTCAAACACCTACAATTCCGTGGACTTTTCACCATACGGTTCCATGCCATCCTTCCCAACGTGGCAACTGAGTCTAACTGAAAACCAATGTCGAAATGTCGAAGTGTGTGTGGAATGATAGGGAACCCAAGAGTGATACCAAACATTACGAGCATGCTTTGACCGCCACACATGTGTGTGCTCTCATGGGCTCGAGATAGCGCGGAAGTTCGCCGAAGGGGGATGGCCCCAGTGCCCAGTGCCTGCCAATTTCTGTAAGTTGGTTGCTCCCAACCTGGCAAACAGGAAGGGAGTAGGAAGGTGTACTTGTTAGTGTCCATGGAGGTTGGGGGAACATCATCTGGGAGGCACCTGTCCTGTTCAATCGCTCGAGCCGGTCAAATATTCCAGACCCTCCAGGTCCTCCAGCCAGTACCGCCAAATGAGCGCCTAAGTGGTTGCAAAGTAGGGGCTGGCACGTGGCGTATCTCGGGGATTGCAACAGGAAGTCGCAAAAGCTTGTTTGTGTTTGTGTCTCTCTTGTGTCTACCAACCCTGTCCTTTGAAGCGCAGTTTCAGACGCCGCGCTTGTGATGGGCGAGGCTAGGTCTCAAACAAGCGTCAGTTCTTTTGAAGAGGACCCCCAGCTGGAGAGGAACGGAGTTCCATGAGGTGCCGGAACATTGGCAAAGTGAGACGGATGGGTCCCTCGTTGCCTTAATGATGTTGATTATCCTCTGGAAGTTTGCAACGAACAAATCCATGTGGAGACGGTAGAGGAGGACGAGTTCTCCTGAAGTGGCCCATGTTTTTGAACATGCTCTGCAACAAAAAAGAAAGCCACATCATGAATCTCATGCATGTTTCACGGCTACGCCCAGGATTCCGGGATTTGGGAGATCATTGTGACGCTAGCGATTTGTGCTGACATGAGTCTGGATCTGAGATGTGTTTGAAATTGTTTGACGTTCTAATTCCAAAAATGAATATGCACGTTTGGAAGGCCAACATGTGATAAAACATGAAACATGCAGGTTTCGGAGCGTTTTCTAACATTAAAATGAACCTTCAATCGTTAATCCACATCTCGGGATTGTCTCATCACCTTTTCTGGAAGTTAAGCAACGCTTTTGCAAAGTGTTTCACTGGCGAATCCTTTGCAAGATTTCTGTACTGCCAGCTGTGCACACATTGCATCACCTGCGGGTTCACTGAGCGGTTGAATTTGTGAGTGCTAATGACATTGGCTGGCAACCATTTATTTTTTTGTTCATGGATGTCCAGCAACTATTAGCTTTTTGGGTTCCAGCACTTTTGCTGCCTTGCTCAAAACGAAGTTCAAGGTGCCATCCAACAAGGTCACTGTAAAGATGTCAATATTGATCTACGGAAAAGGGTTCAAACGAAAGAGGGGTCCCAGTCCCAGACACTGCAACTCCCTATGTGGAGGTTCCCTAACACCACACCAACGAAACAACAAAACCAAACACAAAACCGCCGCAACATCCGACACTGTCATCCTCTAAGCCAAAAGGTCCAGTGGAAACCACAAAATTTGGGTCATGACCAGTGTTTCGGACGTGTACCATCCAGACAATATTGTGTGCAATGAGAGCATGTCAGTGCTTCAAAGAGGAAGTAGGTGATCATTTCCTGATTTGTTAAGAATTTGTGCAGTTGTTCCAAAGCAGTTTCTTACGACATGTTTCTTTTCCTCATCCAGCCTTCGCAACCGACCGGAGACAGGGGAATTCCCTGTGCCTTCAAAAAGAGTTCTCCCCTCATTGGCACGGTGAAGCCGAGCAGCTGAGGCTTGACGATTGCGAGCTTCGTTTTGCCTCCGGAAGAGTCCGACTCTTTGGGGTTGTTCCTGGCAGGCGCGGTTGGGGGAGTCCTGCAAAGCTCCAGCGGCCAGCGCGACTCGTGTGTGTTTCACTCTGGCGAACTGGCCCCAAACGACTTGATCCATATCAATAGAACACTGAGATATACTGAGATCCCCGTGGCTAGACCACAGCAATGGTCCCATCAAACGAAGGTTCTGGGAGACTGGTCACTTTGATGCACACGTTCCACCGTCCTGCGTGTCTTAGAGCTTACGCCTTTGTCTTGTTGAGTTTGTGAAAGCCTGTTGGTGCTGAACTTCATGAAGTTTTGTGAGGTGGCTTTGTTTTGTTGATCCTGGTGGTTGACGTGGTGCTCCGCATCATGAAAGAAAGATGCGGCTTCTTCCTCAAGATACTGAATTTGATCCTCGGCGCAGCTGGTGCTGGTCCAAGCGGAACGGGGCACACCAGTTTCAGTATATTGAGACAATTGTGAAGCCCTCAAGAATTCTTGAAACAATTGACAGGCCTGGAGAGAGTGGTTGAATCATTTGAGAGGTGTCGGGCAGTTGCACCTCTCTTGTGCCATGCTGTTTCCCAAGATGCATGGTGTAAGCTCCATCGAAGCATGTCCTTCCTCGTAGATGGTGCAATTTGCAATTCGGATGTTTATGTACGCCTCATGACACGTGTTGACCTTTTAGTGTCTTGAAGTAGCTTGGGACGGAGTAGTGCAGTAGTATCTTGCTGAGAGCCACTGAGGCAATGGTGAATGCACACCTGGAAGACCAACATGTTTTGCAAGACTTCTTGTCAGTTGCCATAGCCCTGTTGTATTGCCTCTAATTATATCTAATTATATGCTGTATATATAGTGTTTCTTCTTCATTTGTTTGTGGCAACAGCTTCACTGATTCTATCAATCTTTATTTGTGTGGTCACCCGGTCACCCTGTGAGCCTGTGAGATCAAAATAGGCCCTTCAACTCTTGCCCCGGCGTAGTGGCAGGCGTAAGTGTTGAGGGGAAGGCGCAGATATGTGACATACCAGATCATATTGCATACAAGGAGGACCAAAGAAAGGCATGCAGCGATATAACGGCCGCCGGTGAAAGGGCTGAAGACTGAGCGCCGTGGCATCATCCCGATGCTTCGACGTGGGTGAACGGTGTGGCTCTTTCGACGGCAGGGCCTCGTTGTTGCCAAATTCGATGGAAGGCCGGTCAATCCGACCGGTTTGGCAGTACCATGACCCGTGAAATCCCAACTCGTTTTCGGCGCGGTGACAAGTACAATATGATCACCATGTTTGAATTATCCGTGGGAGTCCTGCCGGCGCACGGTGCGGCACAATCAGAATTTGTCTTGACTCATTGCTAGCTCAAGCAATGCCGAAAACTTTTTTGGGCTCGCTCTCCATAGCATTCCCTAGCTTTGCAGTGGGCTCTCCAGACAGAATCCCAAACGGAATGTTCTAGAATCCACCTGTCACAGAATCCATGGCTGCCATGTGTTGAGGATTGAATTCGTGGTGGCCATTGTGGGGCTTGTCACCGTGGTGGTGGAAGTGGAGGAACGTCTCACGGTGGGCTCCGATGGCATCAAGCAGCCGGGCGCGTCGCTGGGGCGGACCATCCGATGCTTGGTGTGCTCGGCGGCCGCACGTCGCGGGTGCAAGATGGTCCAAGAAACAGGAGGCACGTTTAGAGTTACCGCATATATATATATATATACTGTATATATATATATTTGTCTAACAGTGACCTAGATATTAGTTAGGTCCGAGTTTAGGGAGGTCTTTTGTCTTGGTTTAAGATGTATCCCAAGAAAGAGCGCACGGTTCAGCCGCCAGTGTTTGCGCTTGGGTAGCTATGATGCCATGTGCCCAGAAGGGGTTTCTTGAACATGTTTCCTAGATTTGGGCGCTGGACTCTGGAAAGGCTTTAAGAACACAGCTCGACATCATATCACATTAGAATTTTGGTTCTGGGAACTTGGGATTTCCATCGCAAGTCTGAAGAGATGGTTATTACTGTACGTTTTTTCAATCGGAGCCCCTAAAAGCGTCCTCTGGATGCTTGTCGTGTGCTGCACCCCACCGCGGCCGTACCAAGCAGACGTGTGGCATCGTGGGACTTGAAAGAATAGTGCAGCCACTGGCTCCAGAATTCCGATGAGCATCCGATGGCCAAGTGAAAGATCCCCGAAGAGCATCAATTCAACATGGGCAACAGCGGACTGATCGAGATTTGTTTGGTGTTTTTTGGTGTGTGTGTGTATGTCTTGCCAAGGACCTGTGCTTCGAGTGTCGGGCACTCAGGGGTCAGAGGATGCCAGTGAACCCATGAAGCATGTTCACTTGATTCCACCTGGCTAAGAGACACCCCCACGAATGGACTCATGCTACACTTACAAGGTGGGATGCACAAAGTATCACAAAGTCAATGATGAACAAGATCATACCGTTACCAATCGGTACAGTCAGTAAACAATTATCATCATTTTTGGACAAGGCCTTTACTAACCATCATTCCACTGTTACAGGTATTAGGATAGACCCAACCAATCGGCACTTCTTTGCCAGAAGGTGGCCACTTCAGATCCGTGTCAGGGTGTGAGGGGAGGTTTTTGGAGGGCCAATGAGAGCCAAACAACCACAAAACAAGGCAAAACAACACAGGTATAGGCGTTGGTTGTAGGATGTGTCATTTTGTGACCATGCATACAACCGATCTTGACTGAGGTTCCGAATCTTCCGCGGCTTTTTCAGCTTCTTCGCTTCCAGAGGCCGTGATAGATCAGTGATATCTAAATAGTAATTTTCAGGAGAGCAAGGTTGACATTTGGGATTCTGTGGTTCTTGGACTGAGGTGGCATTCGGGGTCGCATCAACAAGGGCGTGGACAGGCTCTTCGACCACATTGTCAGGCTCTGTCTGTTGGAAAGTGGGTTCTTGGGATTGAACATCACGAGGCATCGGCAGCTTTTGAGATGTTTGCTTGCGCTTCTGGTGGATCATGGAGTTGAAAACGATGGCTGGCCCACCCAAAAGTGGGTGGGCCCCCTGGTCGCGTTCCTGACTTCCTGCAGGAAGCAATTAGTGGAGTTCTTGCTCATGCCGAAGCAGAACATCAAGATCCAGCCTTCCCAAGGTGAACGACACGGAGCGAGTCGTCGTTACTCCGGGTTGGAGTTTTCGAAGAAGCAGGTCTCAGGTGAGAACATGGGTCTTGGGGACCAAAATGAGAAGAAAACCATCAACCAGCACCCTCTCCCTAGGGATCCAAACACCTTCTCAGAAGGTGATTGGAGACACTGTTATGTGGGTGTGGAGGGTCCAATTACCTTCTGAGAAGGTACTTGGATCCCTAGGGTCTAACTAGAGGGTTGCTGAGCAGGTACCTGTGACGTCGGCTGGAAGTGGTTGGAGGGTGCCTAGACATGCACCACTCCAACCCGGCGCACCAACCGGAGACTGAAAGGCATCCTGCACATCGAACGGGCCCAGCTGCGTTCCTCACGGCTGCCTGGCGAGGTGAGGATTGATGAAACCCAAGCCGCTACGGAGCTATTGATAGATGGGTTTCAGATAGAAATGCACAAGTGCGGGTTTGATTGAACCATATTCCATCCTTTTTTCATTGTTGGAGACGTGTGTCTGGAATCAATTGAAGAAGCGGCCTCGCCTCAGCACCGCGCCCAATGAGGCTGAACAATCTCCATTTGCCATTGATTTTGACAGCGGGCATTCTGGATATGGTGCACCTGGAGCTCAAAATGGGGAAGCTTAACGTCGGGGACTCAGTCGAAAAGTACGCTAAATGCTTAGTATGCCAAGGTTGGGGTGTAGTCCTCGCGACGGGACCGCATCTCGTCTCCAGAGATTGGGTGCCACACAGCAGAACGTGCATACATCCAATAACATCCAATAACTACTCCCCGGCAAAATTAACATGGAACCTGAAAACCACTGGTTTGTGGAGGAAGCTAGTTTTCCACAGGTCCATTTTCAGGTTCCATGTGCATGTTCGGAATTCAAGCCTAGTGGCTGATGACTTCTTGTGAGGCGGGTCATCACCGCCTGATGGTACTTATCCAAAATGTGATCTTGGTGATGGGCCCTGGACGGAGCGAGGCAGGTATTGTGGGGGAAAAAGCTGAGAGCCTCACCAGATAAGATAAAATACATTATATATTCTTGATATGATATGATAATGTAGACTGTTGATGATTCTCCCCCCATTATGGATGGCAAGACATCTCCATATCATATGGCGGATTTTTGCGCTTGACTACTCCATGTCAGTGTGTACTGCGGATGAGGTTGGTCATGCCTTGCAAAACAGCACGTGGTAGTGGTAGGTCTCGGTTGTTCAGCATTTGAGCCGCATCCCCTGCAGGAAAGATCATCAGATTGGAACTTCCATGACGTCAAGGCTGCTAAGACCAAGACCATCAAGTTGGCCTCCAAGCTTCTAGAAGCCTTTGCCCCATGGCTTTGAGGCGGACAGATCCAGGTCCAGGATAATTACTCCTGAAGAAGTGTTGTCGAAAAGGATCCGCAGAGTGGTTCAGCGAGTCCCGTCCTTTCCGAGTAAGCCAGTGACATGTGTTTTCACAGTATGTGTGGTCGTAATTTTTGTTTTTTTTGGGTCTTGTGATGCCCAGCAACATCAAACTCGCATGACTCATCATACTCCAACTTTGAGCCTTTGGATATCGCAGCTCATGATTTTGCCTGAAAGATCCCTCACCAAGGAGATTCGTTTGGCCCATCCCCTGACCGGACCCCCTAAGGCCAAGCCCCCAAAGCAGCCGGCGAAGCCCCCGCCGCAGCAGATGCACGGCTCGGTGCGCGTGCAGAAGGAGGCCGGCTCCAGCTGGCTCCGCCGGAAGTTGGCCAAGCTCCTCCGGGACATTCTCAACAACGGACGCTTGGACAGGACATACGTGTGATGCGTGTGCGGCGGTGAATCAGGAGGATGGCAGGTGTAGGCGCGTGGTGATGGTGTTCTTATCAGCACTCAGATGCTCACGTCACGAATAATTTGACAGTTGGATGTCAAGGTCCCCACATGTTTGCAAGGCACACTTACTTTACAATTACTGTACTTATTATGACTTATTTCACACTTGTTGAATTTTGATGGGATTTTCATGATCAAACATCATCTACAGGGTCATTCCATGCATGAACCGATGGTTCACCGCCACGGGGCAGCGAGGCATGCAAATTGCCATCCACGACTTTGAGATCCGCTACGAGGACGAGAACTCGGGCATCTGCGGGCCCTATCGAATCTTAGGCCGCTTGGCGAAGCTGTGAGGGCAGATGGGCCATGACTATCCATGGCATTTAGAAAAAGAGGCCTAGTGGGCAGAGCCCCCGTTTTCCCAAAGGCTTATCAAGCCGATCTAATTATGTGAGATTGGATTTTCCCGATTTTCTCGAGCGACGCATAAAGCTTGTAATCGTATACCTAGCCAGTTCAGTGACGAACCTTTCATTTTTTGCATCCCTGCGATTGCTTCGATGTGATGCTGACCAGCCCAAAGCCCGCTGGCCCATCCAGTGTGTCCGCACCGGTGATGCCAACCATTGGGCGGAACAGGACATTGCACCTTGCTATCGTTTGTCAAAATGTTGTATTTCCAGATCAAATGTTGATGTTGTGTTCTATGTTGTGAGTTAGTTTTTTGGTTTAATGGGGATTGGTGATGTGTGAGAAGATTTGTTTGCAGTGGCAGAGGTGCGTGTGGCAGTGTGGCAACTAGCATCACACAAAACATTCCCACAACACCCATCCCACCTCCAACAACTTACACATATCCAGCACACCCACCAACATCCATTCTACAAGCTGTAGCATGGGCCACAAGCTACACCTTGGAACGTGGAAATGTCCAAGGTTCATTTCCAACAGCAGTGTGTTCAACATTGTTCAACATAAACATTAACAAACCTCTTTCCACAACATTGGCTACAACATAGAAATTTCCAGAACCGTTTTCCACAACAAAAAACATCCAAAACAATTTTTCTTTCACAACATTAACAACAACATAGTTCAGAACTCACACGGACTTGTGCAAACAGAGATAGAGAGGAACGGATTAAATGAGGAATAATGTCTTAACTATATGTACAATACAACAATGCCATACTTAACGTATGCTACTTACATTTGTCACATTTGGGTCCTGCATGGGGTAGGTACTATTCCGTACATGGATGGTTTGGGTATGGTCAAACATCCAGTTGGATTGGTATGAATTGACCTTTTCCAAATCCAAGCAGGAGCGAGAGCTCTGCAGAGAGTGCTAACATGTAAAACAGATGCAAATGGGCGTTTGTCAACGACAATCACCCTATATGACGTGGTACTCCGTTTCATTCTAGGGACCCGCAAGGATACCACGGACGGAGCGACCGTGGCCCGAGTCGGAGGCGGCTTCGTGGTGGACAGTTTGCAGCTGCGCGCCGTGAGTGCGGGGCAGGGCCATGGTGACGAACAGCATCTCTTCCGTGCGAAAGGCGGACGGTTTTACCGGTCATCGGGACGATGCACCGGAAGGAATAAGCCGCAACATAAGCACATGGGAGATCGGAGAACCCATCAATATTCATAAGCCATGTAGACTGGTAGACTTAACAAAGCCCCCCCCCATTTGGATGCACGCACCAAAGCCGAGTCTGTATCGCTGATATACACCGCCCCTTGCTACGTGTTGTAGTGGGGCGGGGCCCCCGGATTGAACGATCGCTGTACGTGTGGGGGGTCGAGACATGGCGGGTCAGCAGGTTCTCAAAAGCTCGATAGACCTGCGGATTGGAAGATGCCCCCGTGGATGGCATGGCCCTTTGGGAAGACGGTAATTGTCGATCACCAAACAGGGTGTGTCAAGCTGCATCGTTTTTGGAGGGATGGTTATGTTTGTCCTTTTAGTTTTGGATTGCAGTAGTTGTGCTGAAGAGTTGATCTGGAGATATTCAATTGGGTTGACCGTGCTGTTAGTCTAGACCCGAAATGCCTCTTAGGATTGAAGAGGGAGTAGACAGAGATTAAACATGGTGGACGAGGCACATCACGTGCCTATAATGTTCCAGACTATTGACCCGGCCTTGTTTCATGGACGCCTACAATCAATGTGACCTACTACGTAGCGTCTACCAACAATGCGATGCTTTCCTGGCGTTTTTCCCTTATTGTTTATTGTAGCATATGCCGCAGGAAAGTGAGATAGGACCAGTGAAACGATGGGTGGGGAAAAACGGGGAAATAATCTATATTATGCCACACCTCCGATCTCATCAGGTCAAAACATGCAGAAATGACCCTGGCACACACTCTGACATTGGTTTTCAGTTAACTCAATTTCCAGGTGGAAGGAAGGTGAAAGAACCGCATGGCGAAAGGTCCAAGCATTTGTAGGTGTTTTAACAAAAGAGTTTCTCACTTGACTGCGGTGACATGCTGCAAAACGCGCGGCTGCTGAAAGCGGCTGAAGGAAAAAGGTTTAGGGGAAGTATCGTGGAACTACCATGAAAGCAAAAAAGAGAGATTGGAACAGCTTGGGCAAAAGTTCAAAACTGTCGCAGGTACGCCAGACTGATCAGGTCTGGTTTCACTGCCAATTGCAAGCGTCTTCGTTGGCAGGAGACTTGCAAAGGCACTCCTGCCCCCTGCGAAAGTAAGTAACTAACAACAGGGAAAAGGAAACTCTTAGTTACAGACGGTTACAGAGGGTGACGCACACACCACGCCGATTCCGGCGCCCATGTTGCAAGTGGTGACTTCATTTGTTTGTGAAAAGGTGGTGAATTAGAACATGTCTGATCGCAAATTGCATGTGTTGGAAAATAGGACACTGTACACGCTTGAAAGTCAAAGCAGGCTGCAAAAAAACATACAGTCATGCAATCGAATACTTCTGTCCGTACAAGCCCGGCGGCTGTTGAGGCAGTCGATCCAGTGGTGAAAAGGAAGCGGTTAAGATAATCCAAGGTTTGGTGGAAAAAGGGAAGCTGTTACACGACTTCCAGCATGATTTCAGCGCCCCAGTGACGGGGATCACACCCAGCACCCAAGTGTGACGGCTGAGCGAATCACACTCTGACATTGGTATTCAGTTAACTCAATTCCCAGGTGGAAGTAAGGTGAAAGAACCGCATGGCGAAAGGTCCAAGCACTTGTAGGTGTTTTAACAAAAGAGTTTTTCACTTGACTGCGGTGACATGCTGCAAAACGCGCGGCTGCTGAAAGCGGCTGAAGGAAAAGGTTTAGGGGAAGTATCGTGGAACTACCATGAAAGCAAAAAAGAGAGATTGGAACAGCTTGGGCAAAAGTTCAAAACTGTCGCAGGTACGCCAGACTGATCAGGTCTGGCTTCACTGCCAATTGCAAGCGTCTTCGTTGGCAGGAGACTTGCAAAGGCACTCCTGCCCCCTGCGAAAGTAAGTAAACAAACAACAGGGAAAAGGAACTCTGAGTTACAGAGGGTGACACACACACACATTTATGTTGTTCCATAATGTGTGAGATTGCATTTCAGGAGGTGTTTTATATTAAACCACGCATGACCTAGGGGTACGCCACCAACATAGCATGTGGGATTTAGGGGGTGAGATGGGAAAACGGTATTCTATTCTATACTGTACTGTTGGTGCATGTGCTGGCAGAACGTCCGCACCCCCTATGTCATCCTGCTGTGTACTAACCACATTTGGCAACCCTGTCTACTGACTGATGGCTGGAACGCTGTGGCCCGCAACTCCTATGTCACTAGCCCAGCAAATTCCTATATAGGGTTATAAGGAATTGATGATGCATATTTGGTTTCTCCTGTTTGGCATGAAAGAAGGATGAACTTCTGCCATAAAAGGTCAGAATAATATGATACTGTATATGCTTTGGAGATTTCCCAAAAGCTATGTGTGAGAACAAGTCGTCACATGGAGATAGATCGCTGACCCACATGTCAAAAGAATAGGTGAAAAAAAACACACCCATCTTGGCCTGACATAATGGGGTCCACGTTGATACAAGGAGATGGCCAGTTTGATGGCCTCATGTTGCCAGGTGATTGGCGTGCTGGCTTAGGGCAACCAGAGGACTATGGCCGGTCACCCTCCTCCTGGCGGACAATGGTGCCTCAGAGAGGATCACAAGATTTTTCTATGCAAATCTTGTAGCATAAGCTAGATGTTACCTTTCCAGGGGGGTCCTCGAGAGTAGAACATGCACGTCTCAACTTGGGGTGGCCTCGGCATGCCTCGGCCTCCGAGTCCTTCCGCAACACTTTCTCCAACCCGTTGTTCGGCAAGACGGCTCCGGCACCGAGCATCTTCGACTTTAGCGGCCTGGCAGAGGTGGTCTATGTAGAATTGAATAGAGACAATAGAGCATTAACGTACAGCCTTCCTTTGCGCATGTTTTTGGGAGGCTCTCAGATTCTGGAAGCATCAGGATTGATTGAGTACAGTAGGTAATTAGATCCCTCCGTTTCTGGACAAACATGATCTTTGGGGGCACTTTTCCAAGTCCATGATTTTTCGGACATTCCAGCCTGTGTAGTTTTACCGGTGATTTGCATCAATTAGGGCTATGGACATCCTTACTCGGTGGGAGGACATGGGTTCTTTCTCAGCTAGGGCTCAAAGAGAGATCGTCCGTCATGGCATCGTTAGCTCAGCTACGTGATGCCTACCGGGCTGATGCTGCGGAGTTGGCAAAGTTCTTGGATCAGCTGTGCTTGACCCTTCAGCAGGGCCAGGAGGGGTGGTTGGCCAAAGATGCGGTTCTTTTCAACGGAGACGGTTTGTAGGAGACACAGTTTGCAGAGCACTCATCGTGAATTACATCTTGCATCATCGTTTCAGTTGTCATGATGTGAACAGGTTCTCAAAAATGACCTGAAGGAGATGCAGAAACGCTTGGCAGACGCTGTCGTCCGCCTCGATGCCGCCCACCAAGCCAGCGAGGCCGGCGGCCAAGCCGAGGCCTGTGAGGATGCAGCGCCGGTGAAGCCGGACCGTGCGGTGAAGGCGACGCCGAATCCCACCGTGCCGACGCCCTGCAAGGCACCACCTCCCAGCCTCCGGACGCCCGTGAAGGCGAAACCCATGGAGAAGGACTCCAAGAAAGAAACCGCTTCGGGCACCGCCCCTCCCTCATCAAAAGCAGCGCCGCCATCCCTGACCACTCCAGTGAAGGCACCTCCACCGACGTTAAAGCCCAAGGAGGCCAAGGTGGAGAAGGAGGAGAAGGAGGAGAAGGTGGAGAAGGTGGAGAAGGAGGAAAAGGTGGAGAAGGAGGAGAAGGCGGAGAAGGATTCTCAAGAGGAGCCTCAGGGGGAAGAGGAGGCTCCTCCTCCTCCACCACCACAGCCTTCTTCAGGGCCTTCAGTGGTGGGCTACAAGGCGCCACCGCCAGGAATCGGCAAAGAGAAGGATCCAGCTCCTCCCGTTGCCAACGCTGGCACCGCTTCCCCTCCGAAAAGCCCCGCCGTCAAGGCAGCTCCTCCCTCACTGAAGAGTCCGACAGTGATAACAGCGTAGGCAGCTGAGGACAAGAGAAAATCTTGGAGACAGTTTTGGGTCGTAGCTGACGATCTGGGAAATTTAGGACGACAAGACGCTGATCCGATGTGCAAAAGAGTCGCTTTGTTCATCTCTTTTCAGCGTTGGAGTGCTTTGCCAATGTTCCAGCGAGATGTGGTGAAGCTCTTCGATGTGACAGGTCACACGTCTTCGGCAGTGTTCGTTGGTTTCGAGCGCTCAGCGATGCAATCCCAGGTCATGGTGTACATGGGGGTCTTCATGGATATGGAATCAAAGTGTTTTGGGATGCTTGGCATTGTTTAGCACTGACACATCTGAGAAGGCCAATCAATCAGAGTACTTGGAGGTTGGCAAACACAATGAGTGGGCCAGAATCCGACTCACTAAAATTGAAACGAATGCAACACCTGGGCGGCAAACCTGGGCTGGAGCGGGACATACGAAGGCATGTGGCCCACAGCCTGTGGGCCCACAGCATGTTAGTCTTGCTAGTAGGGCTGGAGAGACTGCATGCATGGTCCCGTTTTTGGAACATGCTAGAACCGAATCCATCCCTGTTCTCAGCCCAGGAGATGTTTCCAATGGACCGGAAATGCACCATGAGCAGTGATGTGCTCAAGGATGGTAGCTTTGCTGCAATAACTTTGGCATGATGCCTTCTTCACCGATGTGGCAACCTTGCGCCCGACCCACACACAGAGGGTTGGTTCGTTGTTCGCATCCACTCCACCTCTCAGAGACCCCTTACGGTTCGTGTCCGTATCTCGTGTCGAAGCGCTCCTGGACGCCGGAGGTTTACTTCAGATCCCACTGTAGTGGTTGAGATGAGGACGGATTCCTAAAAGTCTCAGTTTCTGGGTTCAACATAGACCCCGACAAAGCCCAGTGGTAGCCGGTAGGACCGTTACATGACCATGACACAAAGAGCACACCTGAAAGCACTATATGTACTCCCCCTCCAACAATCCTTGAAGTGGACAATGGCCCCTTGGAAGACTATGTTCCTCTACCAAGAACGTGTTGTCCACTTCCATGATTGTCGGGGGAGGATATAATCGATATTAAATTACTATATACTGTATATTGGATATAAAATACTTGTTTTATCTTTTTTTGGTGAGTGTGTGTCACCAGCGACCCGTGGTACAGGAGAGCTCGACCATCATCGTAATTTCAGTGTCTCACTCCACACTTGTCAGAGATGCACCTTTGCCTTTAAACTCTTGCCCGCCCCCCCCCCACAACATGACCGTTTGCAGGATGGTTGGTCAGGGTAGTAAGGCCCTTAGTAGGGGAGCAGAAGAACACGTCCATCCTTTGCGTTCCACGGTGGGATTATCTGTGGGATTGCTCAGGGCTGGGTACGACGACTGCAACGTCACAGTTTAGATTGCGTTTGCAGGAGGAGAGCGTCGTTTAGAGCATTGGGAGGGGACTGACTGGCGCATCAGCAACCACCCTCATGAGGAGCTCAGTCAAAACTGTCGCCATGGGACCGGGACCGGCGATGCTTGCAGGATAGCGGGTGCAGTGTCACTGAATTCCTGAAGACACGGAAGTTCCTGAAGATGTGGGAGCGGTTGCGCTATGGGATTTGCACCGTAGTAATGCAGCGCATGCTTGAGGAGAAGCAAGGTTTCTGAACTGCACGCAGTCGGATTGAATTGAAAAAACCATGAGCACTGCTTCGGTTCTTTGCGTTCTTCTCGTGTTCTTGTTGGTGATGTTGTTGCTTTTCCTATACCTTTGTGTGTCCAATTCTTTGAGATCTTCCAGGATGACCGTCCTAGGTATGGATGCGGTGTATGTCTCCTCACATCGGCTGCGTGAGAAGGCCCGGCGGCTGCGTGACATCATTGGGCAGTACAAGTATTTGGTCCCTGGGCTGCAGATGGGATGGGTAGCTTCAGGCATCTCAAGCTGTCTGGACAAGGGTGACATCAGACTCTCTCAAGCTCTCAAATGAGAAGTGAATGGCCATTTTGGTTTACAACTTCGATGACTCCTATTATAATTATAAGTTATAAGATATTTAATTCATGTTTGGCCCCTTCTTCGCATGCAATGGGCCGGAGACGAAGTGCAGACGACTGGGTATCTCCTTTGGATGGGCACAGGGTCCTGGGAGTGCTAGGCCTTGAGCATCAATTGCATTGAAACCGGCTGAAAGTGCTTCTTCCTCAGGGGTAGACTGAAGCCGCGACCTCTGATTTCCTCTTTGGTTTGTTGATGTGCGTTTTCGGCTCTGAAACACCACCCGCTTGCTCAAAACGCATGTTCTGTCCAGACATGTTATTGTCCTCAAGCCCTGCCGGGGCCCTAGGCTGCGGCCGGACCGTCGTGGGTTTGAAACGGTGAACTCCTTCTGATCTGACCAACATGCGAGGGTTTCACATGGCAAAATGCAGGGTTCTTGTGGTGTCTTGCGTGGTTTTACCATGTTTCACCCATGGTGTTCCTCGTGTTCGTTGTGTAGGTTGAACCGTGCAACTTTAGCATTCACTTTGTAGCTCGACCCTTCCGTGGCAACGGCGACGAACCTCATTTGGATTTGGACGTCAACATCCAGGATGATTTGTAGGGTGCGGGTGGGCAGCAGCAGGGCCGAAGCAACACGAAATTGGCATTTAATGGCAGTCAAGCAGGTGCACCATGGCAGGCATTCCCACAGGCTCCTGCGGGATGGGTGGGCTTTTGGACAACATGAGGGAATTCGTAGACACTGTTGATAGAAATGATTCTTATGGAGACATTTTTGAAACATGCGAATGCCATTTAAAAGGCTAGAGGTTCTCAGCGTGCTCAGGGTTTGCAGGATTTGACCGAGCCTTCCAGGAGCTATCCCTTCTGCTGGACATGAAGCAGTTGAAGGGCTTGGCTGCAATCCTGGGCTGCTAGGCAACAGGCTCCATGGGTCATCCCAGGCAACAAAAACTCTGCAGATCAAAGCTGTTCAAGTCCTGCACTTCTTTCCCCCTACTCTCCAAACACTTAACCATGGTGTTGACCCGTTTCGTCCTAAATGAGGCAACAGGCTCAGCACGGTGGGAGAACATCACACCGTTCTAGTCTCCAAGTGTCCCATGCTCGCCGCCGCGCCGGTCCCCAGGCTACCTGCAGAGGTGGATGCGGCACGATGCGCTCTTTCAGTGGAAGCCGGTGCCGGCGGAGTTCCGGCACCTGGGCGGAGTGCCCGGCACGACTGGGCTGGGCGAAGGGGCTGGGCGGACGAGGCGGAGAAGGTGTGGGTGAGTTATTGTGCGGTGGGGAGGCCAGGTTTGGCGAGCTTCGATGAGGTCTCCGGGAAGATGGATAAAGATTAGAAGTAGAAGGCCAGATACCGTATAAAGACACACTTCGGGATTTGGAGACCCTCCAACTCATTCGTCAAACCCCAAAACGGCAGTTAGAACGCCAACATTTGGCAGCAAACCTTTGAATTGTGTGTGTACGTTTGCGCGTGCATATGTTGTCCTTTGCTGGCCAGACGTTTTTCAGGAACTCGGCTGACATCTCTGGCTGCGGGTTGACCAGGGGTCGATTGCTCTGGGCCTTCGCACTGAAGCTGGTGCCACTTAGCCCAACAATGTTCGCAGCAGCTAAGAGGCCTTCGTGCAATGTTCGTGTGAGGAGGTCATCGTTTGAAGATGAACGAACATGCATGCTTTAGAACCTGAATCGGACTCTTTTCTCAAGCGTGATGTTGGTGGAATGATCCAGATGTTTTGTGTCCTGAAAAATCTATTGAACATTTGATGATGTGTTTTTTGCATGCGGCTCTCCTGCATTGAGAGATTCCTGTGCACAACCTTGAGGCTACAGAGCATCCATCCCAAGTACTTCTGGACTTCCCTCGCGTGGATCCACATGCGCCGTGGAGCTTCGATTCGGCAAGCGCTCTTCGAAGCATTGTCAGCGAGGAGAGGGCGTGCTGGCGTGGGATGTCAGATCATGTCAGATCCTACCCGCAGCCGGCTGACATAGCCCAAACACAGGATTATAAGATATTGTAAAGAAGACATTTCATAATATATATGTATATATACACATAATATGTTTTATTCTATGTTTATACTATATATATAATCTATATTTGTATGTTCTGATTGATTTGTTTTCATCCAGTGAAACAGTTATAATTGCTTACTGTATAAGACCTTTAGATTGTCATTCCATAGGAATGGGGCCTGCAAAGGTGTGGCCCTAAGCAAAGGGACATCTCACCTCAAAGAGACCTCACCCTCTCATGCGAATGCCGGGGAGTGGCAGTTGGCTCGGACGAGAAGCAAAGCCGCAAAGCCCAGTGGTTGGAGGGTCTCCCTATTTTGCGCAACATTGCACAACCATGTTCTTCGTGCTTTGAAGCCTCGGACATGTCCGATTTCAGGACTGTCGACCAGGAACGAGTGCAAGTGCTGCAAGTGAGTCTTCCATTGATAGAAGCTAAATTGCACAGGGTGTGAGATCGGTAAGGGAAAGCATCGCGGCTGCCGTGGCCTCGTGTTCTGGACCATTGCGAAGGAGCATGTTTGGACGATTCGATCCGAGGAATAAGACCTGCCGACTCAAACGCCCGATTTGGCAAACTAGTGACAGGAGCGAGACCATTGGTGTGAGTCTGCGTGAGCCGAGGAATGCTTGGCTGTGCGGCGAGAGTTCCTGATCCAACAAGCTAGGAGGCACATGAGAATGCAGCTGCAACATGCTGTACACAATGGCAGTGTAAGAGCTAGGGCGGACAGAATTGATGGTACCTTGAAAAGCCTTGGGGAGCTCTCAACGACCACTTCCATGGCCACATTTTTCCTCGGACACGGCGTGGCCGTTGACAGGAAGAAGGAGGAGTCTTACTTCAAGCGTGAAGGGCGCTTTGGTCCTTTTATTTTGCTGACTTGCGACCAGTCTTGCTCGGTATGACACATTGCGCAGCTCTTTTAGGTCCAAGAGTAGTCAAATACTTCAAGCAGTTTAATTTTTTAAAGTACATAATTCCATAAACATGTTACCCCTTCAAACTGTGGAGCAGCTGTTTGACCATTGATGTGTATTGCTGCCGCAGAAGCTGGCTCAGGAATTGCTGCCCTTGCCGGAGAAAGACGCCTGAAGAGATGGCCGAGGCACTCAGAACCGAGCGTTGGAGCCCCTTGAAGCCTTACCCTCCAGGCCCTCAAGGCACCCCTGGCTTTGGACCTTCAATATCCTTCAATCATCCAACCTTGAACTATGCCCTTTCACAGGCACAGTGATCCAAAACACAGCGTCAAACATGCTGAAGACAAGTATCAGCGCAGGCGAAACCAAAGGAGTTGATGTTCTTCCAGTGGAAATGGTATGAAATGGTTTCCATCTCCACCCGACCAGGCGCAGGAGGAAGAGCAGGCTCGAGCTGACACATCAAGATGATGAACTGCTACTTTTGGGTGCCCTGTTAACGAAACACCCACATCCCACGTCACCAAGACTACGGAATGCCCGGCGGTTTCTTTGAGGCATCATGAGGAGTCATTGCTGTTAAAAGAACACTTATGTATCCGAAAAGAGATTGGCAAGGTATAGGTGGCTCATGGTGGCTCATTAAACTATATGTGTTATTTTGAGTTCAATTTTGCTTGTGTGGGTCCGAAAGGCGGTTATGGCTGTTGTGAGCTCGCATTGTGGAGACACCCCACAATCTTCCACAATATCAAAATGCAAAGCATGCTTATCTCCAATCGCTACACCCTTTATACTCGTGTTTGGCGGTTTGCCTGCAGGACGAGGAAGAAGGCCCGGTCTGCACAGCCGTCTAGGTCCAGAGCATGTTGAGAGCTGGTCCACTTGGCCCTGGTGAAGAAACGTGGACATACGTGGAAATGCCGTGTATGTTCCCGGACCAGCAGACCAAAGACTACAGCAGAAACTGATAGTTGATGCAAATTTCCACTTATGAGGTCTTTTCACCTTCAAGAGCAGCCTGTGCGGGATGAACATGGATGAACGGTCTGGGGAAGCTGGGCATTTATGCTGTAGCCCATAGGTCGTCTTATATAATTGCATGCAATATTATGACATGACGATGAATAGATGAGCATTCTTGTGTGTGTGTGTGTGTTTGTATTTATATTGTGGCACATCGACCAGTTGTGAGACTTCCAGAAAACTCTTTGCTTCCTGAAGAAGCCAGGCTTTTTGCAAGCATACCACGTGGCTGCATAGACACAACAACATGTTGAAACGTAAAGAGACCTGCTTTCTATACCTGGGACGCATCTTTTCATTGAAGCCTTATAGAAAACGGGGAGTTTTATACTTTTATCCTCTAACCGTAACCAGATCCCAGTAATTCCAATTGAGGAATGTGATGCCATCACTGGGGCAACATTTTTTCTCGACCCATCTTCTGCTTCTTGGACGTCTTTTTACAGTGGACAGTGGCCGCTTAGGGCTCTTACAACCAACTTTCACGGTTTCCACGGCAGGTGACTCGGACATCATTGATGATGAGTCCGAGGAGAACAACTCAGACAGTGGGGAGATCCCGCCCAATACTGAGGCCATTGAGGCAAGCAGACGTGCGTTGTCGTGACCCGATCGTGGTCACTCCACCAGTGCCAAAACCAAGCCGTAATGACTTATTATATACTGTATATGTAGTAGAGGAAGCCAACTTGCATAGAAACTAGGGCCCCAGCTCTTCCACAAAATTCTGCGGATCCAACATTGTGAACTAGTAATTTTTGCTCATGAAATATGTGACAGCATGCAACTTTGCAGCTTGGGTAGGTGGGAATGACCAGCTACACAATGCAAGGTCGTGGGTAAGATGATGCAAGATGGAAACATGTATCTTTTGCAGATGGAAATGGCTTTGGGGCACCGGATGGTGGTAGGCCACCTTTCGTCAAGCAACACTGGCAGGTCTTGCCAGACATCAAGATCGCGCCACGTAGCCCCACGAACACGGTTCCTGAGATGCATCAGTCATCACTTGAAAACTGACTTGAAGGAAGCTGGTGAGAGGTGTTGTCTTGAGCATCAGGTGCTGGCTGTATCAGGCTATAGGCTATACTGTACTATGTGTCTTTAGAATTCTTTAGTTTGTTTTAGAGCTCTTCCCATGATCGTAGCAAGGCTGTGCACAATTTCTTTATGTGGAATATTTGGTTGTTCATTTCCTTGGGCTTTGATACCTCAAGTCAGACAGGCCGCGTCTTTTGTCGCTCAGGCAGTGTCTGCAGGAACTCCTGAGAAGGAGGAGAAGGAGCAGCGACGGATGTCGCTCTGGGGTAGTCAGAAGCGTCCGAAGGACAAGCGCCTTGGAAGACGGTGGACGAGTGGATTCGATTCCTTGGAAGATGGTGTTTCTGGGCGAAGATCCGGTGATTGTATAGTTCATTGAATAGAAGGTTCAGGATGATTGAGGATGGTCCCCAGGTTAGGCACCGAATGGCACATTTTTTAAAGAGTCCCTGGCCTGAATCTATCAAGAAACAGGACCATGCTCGGGCATTGGAGCGTGTCCGAGTCAAGCTGGGAGAGTCGTCTTCGAGCAGATCATTCCGCACATGAACCAGCTTCTACCAACCAGCCGTTTGGGCCATGATCCACCCAGTCCTACACGGGATGCTCTTAGACAGTTTGCACAACATCCTTGTTCCATTATGCGGTTTTAGACTCTTTTGAGGACATGCAACGTGCAATGTGCTGCTTGCGTGCTGCTTGTGTGCATCAGTGTGCTGCTTGTTTGCCGCTTGCGTGGTGCTTGTTTGCTGCTTGCGTGGTGCCTGTTTGCTGCTTGTCTGCTGCTTGTCTGCTGCTTGTCTGCTGCTCGGCTTGGCTTGTCTCGTCCTGTTTTGTCTTGTCTTGTCTTGTCTACTTCAGCAGAGGAGTTGGAATGATCTGATACAACACCAAAAAGTGAATTGCACGTGGTAATAAAATCTGTAAACGCCTTATAAACAGGAGCCTGATGTGGCCCGGTCGCATGAGGCCCTTCCATGCAGATTAGCAGCATGATTAGTATCTTTCCAGTCACCTGATATGACCAAAGTTGACAGTATTTGGACCACCCATGGAAACCTCTAGTAGGCATAAATTGAACTCCGTTCGCACGCGTAACTCCAGCCCGCAACCCAGCACCGAGCACGATGCCAAGCCAGGCTCCACAGGTGCACCAGACGTGCACCAGGACGAGGTCCGAACGGTCCGTCCGGGTATTCCGTTCGGGTTCGCCTGGACGCTTCGACATGGCCCAGGCTCGACATCAGCGGGCTGAAGGAGTTCATGCAGATTCACGTCTCCCTGCGCAGCCCGGGCGGAGTTCGCGGTCGACCGGTGGACGTGGCGAGGAAGTCGTGTGGAGTTGTATGTCTTAATGTAGGCTGAGGAAAAACATCCAGAAACTGGTTTCCTCCAAATTCCGAGGCAAGTTCTACTTCGACCTCCTCTACCCTCCCGGCCCCAACGGCCGCCGCCGCGCCATGTTGCGCTTGGGCGCCCTTTGGTGCGAGAGCTTGGGCGCGAAAGGAGCGCCGTACCGGCGCCCTGGCGAATGGACCGGGGGCTATGGTCAATGGACCGGGGTGGGTGGGAAAGCATTTAGGATTGATTTATGATTCCCTTGAGACATGGATTGTAAAGACCTCGATCTTCATATGGGGGTTAAAGTCAATCAAGAATCGACAGTCTACATTCGTGGTGAATTGCATGTGGCTCACTGTGTCAATCTGTCACAAGGCTAGGTTGCGAGGTGCTTTTTTGACGGTTCTCCCCTGATATCTGACAAATCTCACGACTGTACGATTCTTTGGTTCTTGTTACTATTTCTGCTTGGCGCCCAATCTCAGCAGAATCCGAGTTGATCTCAGCAACTCACTGAGTCACTGATCCCTTGGCCCTTGGCGCCACAAATTCTCTAGGCTTTGGTCTTGTTTGGCACCGCCCTTGGTGGTTGTGACTCTCCCAGTGGGAGACCCGTTGCTTCGACGCAGTGTGAGCTCGGTTGGCAGTGTCGGCCGAGAATTGGAGACTTGAGAGCTGTTGGAGGTGTTTATTCAATTCCTTTCGGAGTGCAGGGAGCTGGGTATTTGGATCGATTTCGGCTGGCTGTTATGACTGGAAGGCAATTGATGTTTGCTTTCAGCGCCTAGGATGCACAAGCATCCAGCCCTTGGCTTGCAGGCGGGTTGCCTTGTAGTGCAAGGTGTGGATAGCAAAGCCATGCAAAGCCAGAAGGGGGGTCCTGTGCGAGAGAACGTGTGTGCAGGTACAAGAGGCCAGCGCGGTCTTCTCTGCCGCGCCAAAGGACTGGATGTGAAATGTGAAGGTTTTTGTGGCTTGTCAGACTGTGACTTGTCATTCTACAGTGCCACAGCAACAGTACTACTTATGCGGGGGTAGCGGCCAGTCACGTACAAAGTTCGCAGTTGCATATTATATATATATATATATAGACTGAACAAAAACTGTTCAACTACGTTCAAATTACAGAACGGTGACTCGTTCCATTTGGGCAGAGGTTCTGTCTAGGTCCAGGCTTTGATGATTCGGGCGGCACTTGAACTCCAAGACTTGCCTGCCATCACCACTCTTGAGAGGATCGACTTGTGATCCCAAGAAGAATCATCAGCGCCAGTCTTTGGGGAAAGCTGGCTGTCATTTTGACAAAGCCCAGATTCTCATTCTGCATGTGAAATACTCAGAACAGTGAAATTTACACCAGGGTCAAAACATAGAAGTGCTCGGATGGCGTTTGGACACCCTTGATGTTCGTAGAAAACCAAACAGTTTCCACGTTCAGCTGCAAGAAGGCCAAGAATGTAAAAGACTCTTTGAGGTTGAAAGTTTCGGACCAACCTAAATTATTGAGAACATGCGCGTGGGATTTGCCCATTTAGAGAAATTGTTCTTTTGCATGGGGTCCACATTGAGACAAGCTTTCCTGCTGGAAGCCTTTGACACGGGTGTTCTTTGCCCACGGCCTCTTGTATTTTGAGGCCCCATCCTTTTGTTATAGATCTTGTTTGATATATATATATATGTGTGTGTGTGTGCGCGTGTGTAATTTTTTCGTTGAGGTCAGCGAAGAAGTTGTGCGGATTTCTCAGGAAGTCTGCTTCAGTATAACGTCAAGTCAAGTCAAGAAAGTGAGCAAAGACCCGCTTCAAACCATCAGGGTTTCGCTTCTCCCGCTTCGCCGACCGGTTCCACCAGCCATGCGGTCTCCGACCGGACTCCAGGACGGTCCTGAACTGCGGACCTTCATGCTTTTTGACGAGCACATCAGTGCGACCGCCCAGACAACGGGACCCGATTCGATGGACACAGGTTTGGGAACCTTGGGGGGACTGGGTTCGGGAGGGTGGTGCCCCATTAGATTTGGGGCAGCCAGGGCTTGCAACTGGATCTGGTTCGTTGTGGCTGTGCCAGTAGGATATCGTTGCCTTTTCTTTTAGTTTGGGAAGTTTTTCTTGCTAATAGATGATTGTGCGCAGGGCTTTGGCCACTTGGGGGTATAACATAACGCAGTACTGAAAACCTCAGTGCCATTGTGTTTTGCACTAACTGATGTGACTTACCAAACATGATGTGACTTCTTGGTTTTGGCTCTGTACCATTGGGAGATGTGACTTTACACCGCCTGATGTGAGTTAAACCCGGCGCTAGTAAGACCTGGTGAGGAAGAGCGACGTGGCTGGTGAGCGATCTGATTCTTAAACCACACGGGGATCCCGAAGACTGCCACATCCTGAAAGATCTTCATCGCCACTCTTGGACCCAGGCACTCTTTGCGGAGGGTGGTGCTATGCCCACTACAAACTGTTTAGGAACCAGGCAATCGGTCTTCTCCACTACCCCTTTGATCTCCGTGGCCATTTCTCCAGAGGATTTCGTCCGCTCACGTAGCGCGCCGGGGGGCGGGTCCATGTCGGAATCGGTGTACCGAAAGACGCCGTTGCCCGTGCGACTGGACCTCAACAAGAGGAACACGCGAGAGCAGCTGAGCCAAGGCCAGACTGAATGATTTGAATGGCAGGGATCCATGAGTTGTTTTCGGAACTTCTTTTGCCCTGCATCAGCCCTTGCAATTTTGTAAACTTGGAAGATGGGTCATGGAGGGTCATCGAAACATGGGTCATGGAGGGTCATAAAGCAACCTCCCTCCGCGACAGAGGTCATCCCGTAGCCGTAGCCCAGTAGAATCAGTATGTCAGTCGAAAGATGGTGCAGTAGGAAGGTCATGATGATTCCAGATGGTTGAACTGCACTTACAGACCTTCCTTGGTTGGTATGTTTGATGTTGGCCAACTGTTGACCAGATGTGGCTCAAGCTCAGTTAGTGAAGACGAAGATGGGTGAGGTCGAGGCTCAAGAGGTGCCATTGTATGGCGGGGCCATGCTCACCGAGTTGCCCAAGTCTTATGCTGATGCCAGCAACTTCCGAGAGGTGCCAGATCACCAGGAGGTGTGGGTGGATACATCCAGTGACCGGAGTGTCATTATCGAGGTTTTGGAGCAGAAGGAGGTGCCAGACACCGAAGCCATGGAATTCTTCCTCAACGACTTGGCCTCCTTCAATGAAGCCACAGAGGCTAAGGTCTTGCACACGAAACCTTTGGCGCCGGAAGAGGCTTTCTGGCCAAGACGTGGACGTGCAGGGTAGGTTTGGGATGTTTTGGGGGGCGTTTGGCTCATTGTTTGACTGGGAGCCCCAGCATACTTACATACATACATACACATACACATATACACATACACATACACATACACATACACATACATACCTACATACATACATACATACATACATACATACAATATACACTACACTACACTACACTACACTACACTACATACATACACAAACATGTATACCCATATATACCCATACATGCAAGATACATACATAAACATGCACATACATACTTACATACAATATATTTATACATAGACTAGACTACACTACACTACATAACATAATAACATAACATACCTACTTACATGGGTGTTTGAGGTGTGTATGCCTCTCGGCGGAACACATATATATATATAGTCCCGTATCAAGATGTATATATGCCAGGGGATGCATACCTACGCACATGTGAAGAGACCGTCCTATATATATATAAAGGACATAATTACATATATACATAGATACCATGAATACACAAATAATACAGCGTACCTTCAGTGCCATTGCGGGGAAGGCATTGCACCCTCCCGCACCCCCTCCCAAATTGTTGAAATGACGACAAACGGACACGCACAAACAAACAAGCAAGCAAGCAAGCAAGAAAACAAACAAAGAAACAAACAAACCAACGAACGAACGAACGAACGAACAATGACAATGACAAACAAACATACGACATACAAACAGACATGTATTGTATTGCGAGTTCGGATCCCGTGATGTTGGGCATTGTTCCACTCCAAATTGAAAAGGTGCCCCACCTCGGCTGCAGAGCCTTCATGGCGGTGGGACAGCAAATGGTGGCGAAGTTTAAGGAGGAGCGTGTGGACCCAGTGCAGATCTATGCGGCTGTCCTGCGCCTGCCAGAGGTTGGGATCAGATGACGTTTGGATTATATAATAGAGGGATTGCCCCCAGGTGTACAAGCAATAGGGATATGGAACCATATAATATGGCCATATGGAACCAAATCTAAATCGACCCCTTTGGCATTTCCTAAACGACATGTTCTATTCCCCTCCGTCCCCTCCAGGACCAAATGGAGGGTGGATGCACGGCGTTGAAATCCAAGGGCTTGGGGTTTTCTTAGAGATCCTTAGAGCATGTTTGTTGGCATTTGCTTCTGGCCATCAGAGTTGGGGCTTTCCCCTACGCAGGCCTTCTGAACCTCCGTGCATGGCGGTCTTGGACATCAAAAATCGGCTTACAATTCAAGGTTAAATGCCAAAGCCCGAAGCTGGGCGATTAGGTAAATTGCCTATATTTACAGTTATTTACTGTTTGCTCGTTTGTATGCGAGACCAATATGATCATGCAACCAGCAGGGAGTTGGGGGTTGGATGAAGAACTGTTTTGCCTTTTCGTCGCCAGGTGACCACCGACATCCTCATCACCCTGAATGATCCAGGGCACTCACATGCAGAGAGTGCAGACATGTTCGCTCACCTCTTAAAATCATTCAGGATTGTGGATTGGCAGCTCTTCGGATGAGCTGGGCAGCTACTTGGATTCCTTCATCAGGCTGGAAACAGAACTGGCATATCTTGTGGCACATCCTGATAGTGGGGGGAGACTGGAGACGGCCATGACGTTGCCATCTCCAAGCTTCGGCCATGATGCCCTCCTTGCGTTTCCTGATTGAACGATGGTTGCAAGTGGCCAATGCAGAAAGGCCATGTTAAATTCTTGGCAACGTTGCTTGAATCTATTCATAGCTGAGGTGTGCATAGATACCTGCAGTGCTTTGTACAGATCTACCTTGGCGAGAAAACGGCATTCGTTGACCAGGGGTAACCAGGGGTTCATTGAACAATATTGAATATGTCACATATGTCGTTCTGTCACCTTTGAGCTTTGAAGATGTTGAAGCTATCCTGGGGGTTGAGCCTGATGGACAAAAAGCATTTGCACAATTATATATCCAGTTGTGCCCACTGTCAGATCGGAGTTCGCAAGCCAACTCTGAATGAACTCGGTGTGGGTGCCTGTGTGTTGATCAGAGGCCACCGGAGCTGGTGCAGTCGGAACGGTCTCCAACATCGATCTTCCATGTAGAACCATGGCAACACATCCCCTCCATGTGGAGTGGCATGCCTACTGTGGCTGTCGAGCAGGTAGTTCATGGAAGCACCCCTTCGCCATTCTTTACAGATGGATGATCCATGATGATTCTTCAACTGGGTATGTGAAAGGCATCCCCCCATTAGCATTCCAGAGACAAGCTTGCAACCATGGCGGTGGTGTGCCCTGCGGACAGGGGTTCTACGGTCTTTTCGACTGTGGGAGCCACATGTAATTGCAATTCTAATTAAATTCCTTTTGTTACTAGTAGTAAGGCACTTGTCTCTAATAGCAAACATTGTTACTACTAGTAAGGCACCTGTTACTACTAGCCCGGCACTTGTTACTAGTAGTAACAATGTGGTTGTAGGATGTTGTAGGAGTACAAGATCTTCAGGGATACCCCGGCCTTCTCCCAGGCACGGATGACCAGAGGGGCGTTTTGCAGGGCGCCGGCGTGGCTTGCCCCACCACCGAGTCACAGAAGGATTGCAACGAGGTCATGCGCAAAGACCTGGAGCAATGGCTCGTAGATCATGGCATTTCAGGACTGAACTGGCCCGAAGAACGTGCGAGGAAAATCATGTGAGTATGTGTGAGTGTGCGTTGTGCCCTAAGATCTTGTTGGCGGTATGATTAAAGACCTCATTATCATGTCAGTCTCAGTCAGGAATTTAGGAGTCAGTATATTTGTGTTTGGGAGGACATTCGTCCCAGCGACTGCGAATGGCGGTTTGTAGGGGTCTGTGTCAGGACCACCTCCTTCTCCCGAGGTTGAGCAGAGAGCCATGTGGCAGTGGATTCGGGACTTTCACAAGGCTGGCCCAGCACTTCTCATTGAAGTCGTGCAGTTGCTGTCACGGTTTCATCGACTGAACATCACAGCTTTGTGGTCCAGGGACTGTCACCGGGACCGTTATTTTGGGGGCATATGGCCTCCCTGCCAGTTGACACTCAGCATGCCAGGAATACAGCGACGACTGGTACACCCGCAACATGCCTCGCTTGCGAGACCAGTTTAGGCCTATTTTTGTCCAGCAGATGAAGCGAATGCGAGAGCAAGAGGCAGCTCGGTTTGACCCTGTGCATCCTTTGTGCCACAAGCCACATGCCATATGGGGCTCCAAGAACCTTTGAAAAGGTTAGACAGTTAGACCGTTAGACCCTCCAAACCTCCTTCTCGGGAGGGACTACCTAAACCCGGGGGGGGTTTATATAGGAGTCATGACTCTGAGTGTTGTGTCAATTTCTATCCGCCAGCTATTTCACATGTTGCAAGCTACGTAAGTCTTTGGTCAAGTTCTTTTCTAGTGGTGCGTGGTGAGAAGCCCGGTCTTGGCGTTGTGGGGCTGATGGCCGATAGCCAGATGTTGCAACTTGTGAAAGTCGGCGCTTGACCTCCACACAGGAACCTCAGGAACCTGTGCCGGGAGCCCATCACATCCCCTCACAAACCATACTCTACCGAGCCATTTGCGTTGGGGTTTGGTTCATTTTAGAAGGACTTGACCAGCCCGTTGATCAACCACCAGATGATACTCAGATGTATATATAGGCATATGCTCAAGAACTATCACTCAGTAACGATCTGAGGCCAAGGCCCATCCAGTGGAGCCTGCCGCTGGCGATCTCCTGGATTTGGGGCCCTACACGCCACAGCAGGCGCCCCCAGCGCCTGCACCAGGCGGCAGCGTGGACCTGCTGGACATGTGAACCACCTGGGGCCAGTCGTGGCCGCTGCCTTTGTCAGATCGAAAGATGGTGGATGCGCTTGTTGTGTGCGCATCCATATCAATCTAGTACGGTACTGGCACAACATAATACAATTTATATACTTTTAACAACTATATTATATATTATATATAGTATAGTTCTTATTTAGTAAAATAATAACGGATTTAGTGCATGCATCATTAACAGGCCTGTTGCACAAGAAGCACGATCCATAGGAACTCTGCACGGCACAATGGAAATGAGCAGGCCAAAAAATACCATGGGGTTCACAGTGACGGGCAGAGGCAGAGCATTTCAATTCGACGCCCCGTTCGGTGGGCGAACGCCCACACGTTCACGGAGCAATTACGGCCCGGGTGGACAGGAGGAACTTCTGATCAAAGGACCCTTCGTGGCCTGCACGACATTTTGCTCGTAAAGACACTCCGATTCGCTGACAGGAAAGGGTCTGTGCAGCCAGCAGAGGTTCCATGCGGACCTGAGTTTGATGCTGCCCCGATTTTCGCCCATCCCTTCAGCCTGGAGTCATGCTGAGGCAGAGAGAAGTCGCAAAAAGCTGGGCTTTCTCGTCCAGTTTTGCAGCTCCGCCCCTTGGTCAAGGAAGTTCGGGAAGTCAAATAACTTCGCTGTTTGCACCGGATCAGGTTGCCATGGCAGTGATGACAACAATGACGGCTAATTATGTGTGTATGTGTGGTTTAAGTTGAAATGACATTTTTGGTATATGTTTGCCATTTCCAGCATTCGATACACGACACATCGCATTTGATGCGAATTGGTTCCCCGTGTCTCATTCATCAAGGTGCTGCAAAGCTGAAACCCAACCCTATCTCGGAGGAGGAGGCTCGAGCAACCCCTTGGGGACGCACAGGTGCCCTGTCTGAGCGTTTCGGCGTTTCTTCGTTCTTGGTGTGGAAGAGTGGCTAGAAGACATGATCGTGATATCACAATCACATGTGATGGCCATAGCATCCCCTTAAAAGGATTTCTCCATATGTCTCCAATTGTATCCAATCGTTTGTTTACTTGGAGCGTTTGTCTTGTTTTTCTCCTTCATCTTCCCACCCAACGACGCGAACAGCACGGTCTCTCCTTCCCCGGACCCGGGCCCGAGGCGTGAAGTCGATTCCAGCTCCGTGGCGGATGGGCGTTTGCGTGGAGCCCTTCCGCGCGACGATATGCAAGTCCTTCATCTTGCGCGTGAAGGATTTCTTGTGGTCGTATTTGCACCGTGGTCGTATGAGACCGGCACTGAGACCGGCTTATTTGGGCATATTTGGGGCCAAAGGATAGACATATTGGACCAAAATGGTCTTAGTCGAGAATGTCCTCGAAGAAGTCAACTGCTAGCTGAATGGGATGAAAGATGTAAGACGCGTTACCGCGTTGCGCTGAACTTGCTCGCAAGGCTGCAAGTCAAAACGCGTCTATGGTCCTGTGTGGTCTAATTGGGAATACACCTGTTATGATATTTTATGATATGCACATTGCTGCCGCACAGACAACACAAATAGCCGAAGCAGCATCATTTGTTCTGTGCTGATGGACCAAGTCCTACACCCAGGATCCTGGGACACTATGAACACCCAATGGAAACCTACTCTCTATCGAGCCTAGGATTGTGCCCAACCTGGACCCAGCAGAGCTGACGAAGCGGGCAGATCCCAGTGCACGGACCCTAGAAGATCCCTGCCATTTGTGGGTCCAGCTGCAGGACGACCGCGACCCGCACAACCGAAGATGCAGATACGCGTGTGTTTAGGGCGCGTGGGAGCGTGTGAGTTTGGGGTGGAGGCCGGCGGATGGCTTAGTCAGTTGGGTTGACGGGTTTGAGGTCCAAGCATGTCAACTTCCTGGGCGTCCTGATTCTTCTCGGTGTTTTCGTGTCACTCTCGGTGTTTTGGGGACCGATTTGCATATGGTACATTGAGGGTTTAAGTAATACCTTTAAATTGGACACGAATTGAAGTGGTCCTGCAGAACTGAGACCGTGATTCCATGTGATTCCTATTCTTTCGGGAGTTCTCCCGGGATGATCGGTTTACTGTGTTGAGCGGTTTCGATCTCCGGTCCTGATCGCAGGAGATCCGCAAGAAGCGACACCAGCGTCACAGGCATTTGAAGTTTGGACGACGAGCCTTGGTCGACAGCGATGCGATGCAAGCGATGCAGTTGGCATTTGCAGGCATTGCGCGGCGCGTATCAGTATCAGTCTTGTGCAACAGCGTTCTTTTGTTCCTTGTGGCCGTCGCAGCTGCATCGGTGCAACAAAAAAAGGTTTCTATAGATATTGCATAGACTGCGTGAGCTTGGCGTTGGTTGCTGGTGACATTGCAGTTGCGATTGTAACCCATTTTGGCAACGATCGCTAGGGATTTATACAGACAAAGCAAAGTGCCGACAAGTGGAGATTGAAGAGTATAAAATGAGTATATATATAATATATATTATATAGATTATGAAGAAGTAAGATGGAGCCATTAAATGCAATTCAGTATATAGGATAGTACCGACACCAGATAGTACCTTGGAAGAGATCGAAACGTAGAGATTGCCAGGTCGAAAAGTGGATTGCTCCAGTAGAATATGTCTACCAAGAAGAGTGCACTGGTTGGTGTTTTTTTTGGGTGTTAAGTATTTTGGTTGGCATTCACCAGAGGTTACATAGCGTCACTGCGTCACTGCGTCACACATCCACATCACATCACGCCGCAAGCGGACTTCTCCTGCGTCAGACGGTGTCAGACGGCGTCGGTTTCTTACCTTCGGCACCGTCTCCGTGGGATTCTGTTGGATATAGTTTGAAGATGTTTGAAGTTATGCTCGAGCTTTCTGTTAGATATAGTTTGTAATTATGGATTTTTCAGTGATGCAGAGCGCTGCCGCCGCGAACTGCCACTTGAGGATTGGAGATGGCTATGGGGCTGTTGCTTGTTTGAATCGGCCACAGCCCCCGCCCCCACAGTGCCACCCTCGAAGCTGCTGACTGGAGGAGACCCACGATGCATTGATACGACACAACCCTACCCAAGAAGCCCCAGGTGATCGTGAAACCATCGTGCCATACCAATGGATTAGGATGATTCTTATTTTTCCTCGGATGCAGGAGACTAACTCCATCAGCCGTGCTCGAAACCGTATTTCCTTGCATTTCCATTTGTTTCCTAATGTTTCCTACCTTGCACTCTGGGCATGTCAATACCGTGCTGGTTTTTATCTGGTGCACGGACGGGGGGATCCTTTTTCGCTTCTGCTCCGCTGATGCGTGGAGAGCCGGGGGGCACACTGCTTTCAGGTCCAAAGTTCTTTTCCCCCCGGAGTTTCCCAGGGCAAATGAAGTGCAACACGAAGTGGACATGAACATGTTCTGCCCGCCTAAGATTGGCTCATATCACCTCAGAGGTCGAGACAACGCATTCACACCATTCAGCATCAAGATCATGTTGATGTTCCGTGAGCTCTACATCCTTAGCCCCTTTCCGCCCAACCTCTGCCAACCTTTCCCGGCGTGAAAAGGCCTCCTTCCTTTAGACATCTTTAGACTTCACCAAGCCATCTCCCCCACGCTCTGACCAAACCGTTCGAACACCCTCCCGATTCCTGCACGAACGCCATCCGACGGCCTTGCGAGCTGCCCGGACTCAGACGTGGTCCCTTTGCGGATGGGCAACGCTTTTTTGGGACGGTGATCTTCCCGGGCGGCTTCTCAGCCACAGTGCTGGAGCTCTACCATGAGAACAGGCGGCAAAGTGTTTTTTTCTTTGTGGCGAAGGGGGGCATTGGGTGGGATGGGGTGAGGGTGGAAGCGGGTTGGTGAGAACTGACGAGACATGTTTTTGCAGGGAGCCCCATTGGAAGACATGGATGGGATGAGGAAACCTCCTCAAGCAGAAGGGCTGCAAATAGAAATAGGTTTCATTAGGTTTCTATTTTGGCAAGGCCTGCTGATGACGTGTCATGTTTGAATGAAGGCATATATCACGACTGGTCTAAAAAGAAACTCGACGGAGAAGTGTAGGCACGAAAGGAAAGCACGCACCTGAGCACACATATATAATCATAATCATATATGTACAGTGAATACTTCACCAAGACAGGTGACACTTCAATACAACTGCGCTACGTGTCAGTCAGTCATGAATTGCTTTAAAGAGGTCAATGATGGCCATGTGCCTCTGGCATTCTATCCGGCCAGTTCTACATGAAGCGTCCAAGCCCCAAACAACTCCAAGAGCTCCGGCTCCCGCACAACCTCCAAGTAGTAGACTTGTCTCGTTTTCAAGTTTCAATGCGTTCAGATGACCGTGAGTGATCCCAGCGAGGTGGATGCGTTTAACCATCAATGCACCTCCGGGCATGAATGAGTTTCATCGTCTGGGATGGCCAGTGGATGGAAGCGGTGACTTGGAAAACTGCCGGAGTTTGAACATCTTCGAAAATTCCTCGCATGACTCCATCACCCATGAAGAAGACCCATGGCCTACAGGTGTTTCATGCGTTCGGTCGCCGCTGGCTCTTTCAAGATCGCCACAGATGACGTACCGAACGGATCCGAATGGAGCATTTCCCAAGAACATAGGGGTCCTATGAAACGCACATCCTGAACATAGGGGGCCTTTTGGCCGGATGCACAGCGGGTCCCCAAAAGAAGAATCAATGGGTTGAAGCGTTTGAAGCGGTTGCGTCATCTGCTTCGCCGAGGTGGATACCGTCCCTTCGGGGCACTGGAGCCTTGTCGCTCCATCGATGGCTGGTGGTTCGAAACGGAGGAGCAATCACGGCACTTCGTCGCCTGGTGTTTGATGAAGAATGCGATGGAGTGGAGGGTTGTCCAAGAAAGACTCTTTAAGAATCCTTGGAGATTTGTGAGCCTGAGGGGGGTCTTAAAGAAGGACATGGCAAGTTGATTCAAGTAGTGATTCAAGTCTCTACAGTAGGCATCGCTATATAGAGACATTCCTTTGGCAATTGATTTCCTTGATGTAAATGAGCAGATGTGGTGAGATTAAGACTGCCCAAGGCCATTCAATCCCCAGCCAACCGTTGGCCACCCATCAACACGCCGCACTTGCGACCAGAACCTGCATGATGGCATAGGAACCTGCACAGAACCACTCTCATTCCAAGTCTAAGGCTCAAGCGCAAGCAGACGGCGGCAGAATGGAGGGTTCAGCCTGGGAGGCCACGGAAATGATTGATGCAGCTTGGGTGGCGAAAGAATGACCGTTGTTGACTCAAGTCGTTTTAGCATTACTGTAGTTGTATGTCATTTTCAAGTCACTTTCCCTCTTGTGTGGTGGATTTCTTTCCTCCTCCAAGTAGACTCACCGAGGTGGAGCATTTCTCCGCCCTGGCCGGGCAGCCGCCCCGCTTGGCGGGGCGAGGGCTGCCGCGGCAGGCGCTTCAGCCGTCGAAGGTGGCCTCCGAACAGGTGGCTGAAAGCAAGGAGAGGCCGAGAGAAATCCGAGTCATGAGGTCATAGGTGTACTAGAGTGTGTACTGGCGTGTGTGGTGTTCCAAGATGATTTTGGTACAGATGGAACTGGACTAATGGGCAAATGTGATCAAATATAGCAACATTGTATATAATACAAGGATTTATTATGGTTTTGCCTGTTTTCTAGGTGCTTTTGCCTGCGACCTCGATGGGATTCCTGAGACCGAGAGACGTCCGTTCTCGCCCCTAAAGTCGATTGCAAGAAGGAAGCTCCAGTGATCTCTTTGTGACCACCGCTGGTGGAGATTTCAATCTCAAGTGAACAGCATCCGGTGAAGCCGTTGATGCCTCGAAGCTTTCAGGAGAGGACTTTGCTGTCCTGCGCTGCTCAGGCTGGCCAGATCTGCAGAAGGATGCAGAGCTTTCGATCTGCACGCGCAACAACAAAACATCTGGACATGGCAAATGATGCATGCAAGGAAGACTGAGGTCGGGATGGGTGGATTTTTGAACCTTCCTTATATATAACTACCTAGAAAATAGAGGTCAAATGGGTTCTAGGTACAGTATATAGGTCCTGTTTGGGTACCGGTGTTGAATTGCAGCGCCGCTGCCAGGTTGCTGGACCCACGGCCATCATTGCCACCAGCATGGCAGTGGAGGCGTCAAGCGACGAATGATCTTCGAACTTGTCAGATTCGGAAAGCATGCCTTGGCTCCAAAGCAGGTTTGACTCATGGTCATGATGGGTCATGTTCGCCCATTAGGCAACATTTAGACTTGATCTATCTATAAGCCCACAGTGGATTGGTTAATCAAGAGTCTACATGAAGCAGAGCAGTCGCAGCAGGCTGCGCTGCTCGTGGGACCGTTGCAGTTGTTTCTACCCTGTTCATCCCTGTTCCACCCTGTGCAGATTGGCCGGAATGCCGCCGCGCGGCTCGCGGCCTCCATGCCCTCGTGTGGGCAGGCAGCCTCATGGGTGACTGGACCTGGGGGGCGATTTGGACCTCGGTCTTTCCGCTGGGTTGCACATTGGTGAGTGATCCCCACCCCCTATCTCTACAAAACCCGACGAGGGGGCGGGGGGGGGGGGGGGAAGGAGTGCCGTGTCCCCCCCGGGGGGGGGGGGGGGGGTCGTGGATCTCTTCGGGAGTGGCTCGAAGAGACGTGTTGCGAAACACAGGAAAAGCATGAAGAAAAGGAAGAAAGGTCTAGAGGAAAAAGGGGAAAACACAGAAATGTATTTTAAAAAATAGAGAAAAACATGAAGAGAAGAAAGAAAGGTCTAGAGGAAAAAGGGGAAAACGCGGAACGGCGTTAAGAAACCGGAACCTCCAAAAATGTAAGCTACATTTTGGGACGCCCCTAAACCGTTGGTGTGTACCTAGACATTGAAAGGCAACATATGAAAACTACAA